AAGTAAACACTAAGAAAAGATGAATGTTATTGTTATTCTAATTAAAACAGCCAACTTGTAGGTATTCATGAGGTCTCGACAGAATTGAATTTTACTTCACAATGTTATTACAAAAACTATTTGTGTATGACAGCCCTCTCAGCCTATTTACAATATAAAATGAATTAAACTGCGTGGCTAGGAGCTAGTAATTTAATCTTGAGGACAATATAATTGGATATCAAGATCAAACAAACACCTGAATGTAAATAAGCATTAGATTTTAAAAACTGAGTAAGCAGAGGAGTAAATGCATCATGCAGCTAAATCAACAAATTGGCAAATATTCATGTTGAATAAAACCTGGGGAAGTTTTCTTTCTCTGTTATTATCAAGAAGGCTGTATATAACACATGAGACTGCGGGCTCTACTTACAAACTAATCTTGATTCTTTCCCAGTGGAGACATTCAAATATAGAATGCAGTCTGTGTTCTCAGAGTAGGAGGGACATATGTAACATACTCTATGTCCAGTAACCCAGAAGTAGTCACTAGCACCATAAGGATGCACAGTAGGAACTTAAGATATAAAGGAAGATAAAAAAACCTGGTCAGAGGCCATGTCTAAATTAATAAAGGTAGATGGTTTATTACATTTATCATTGTAAATAGCAAGAGAAATAGGAGAAAACTAAAAATAAAACCCAATGTCATTGGTTGCCTTTGTTTTTCTATTTTCTTTGTTGTCTATAAATACAACTATCAGAAGATTAATTACAGTTCTAAATTTAACATTAACAAGATTTCTGGAAAACTACAATATAATTATGTGACAGATAAATTTTGTCATATAATTCTAGAATATGACCCCAAATGTTTATTTTTTTTCTTGGCATTAGGTACCATTTTATTAAGCTTAATTTAAATGCTACAACTTGATGCTTAGGGAAATCCATTGAATTATCAATTAATTCACCTTCTAATTTTAAGCTTGTCAATTTTGCTACATAATTAATTTTTATTCTGGAAACCCACATAACTCTTTCTGACACTTTCTCTTGTTTAAAATTGTATTCAAAAGGTAATTTCGGAATCATCTCTTGAAGAGCTCTTATTCCAAAATTGTTTATCAGGCAAATTAAAATGGAAAGTTATTTTTGCTCATATTATGAAAACTGTCAGCACTTTTAAATCAATTCCCATAGCACAAAATAAACACCATTGCAGGCCGGGTATGGTGGCTCACACCTGTAATCCCAGCACTTTGGGAGGCCGTGGTGGGCAGATCACCTGAAGCCAGGAGTTCTGAACCAGCCTGGCCAACATGGTGAAATCTCGTCTCTACTGAAAATACAAAAAATTAGCCTGGCGTGGTGGCAGGCGCCTGTAATTCTAGCTACTTGGGAGACTGAGGCACAAGAATTGCTTGAACCTGGTAGACAGAGGTTGCAATGAACCAAGATCATGCCACTGCACTCCAGCCTGGGGTATAGAGTGAGAATCTGTCTCAAAAAAATAAAATAAAATAAACAAAATAGATAAACAAACAAACACCATTCCAAAGGAATTAACCAATTAAGAAAATATTCAGTTTTTTTAATTTAATATTTAGTGCAAATTTTATGATGAGGGAATAGAGGAAACATTGGAAGTAAAGTAGAAATTAATTTGCCACATTACTAATACATCCTGTTGACTTTGAAGTAAGCATTTTACATGTAATCATTGACCTTCTACAAATGTTTCCAGGGAAAATAGCTAAAGACTGTGAGGTTCACTGATACTAAAAACACATATCAAGAATTTTAATTTCTGTCCTGATGGTGCCTAAGCACACCATTACATCATAGGCCCTGTGATCCAATACTAATTTTAGGAAATATGGTCAGAGCATAACTTTCATATTGGCTGAAAAGAATAGAAATAATATGAGAGAAGGGGAGTTAAAAGACCCAGAAAATAAAGTCCAAGAGCTGGATGAAGATAGCAATAAAAATAGGGGGAAAAATATATATATATTTAAATATATATTTTTTATATATTTATTTATATATATTTATTTTTTTTATATATATATATATATGCGCCAGTGTAAGACAGTTTATTTAGGAAATTATTTATTTCCTAAATAAATATATCCTAAATATATCCTAAATATATTTATTTAGGAAACTCCAAGAAATAAGAATGTAAAAATGAGAGACACTGAAAAAATTGTGCGGCACGAAATTCAGAGGACAAAAATCAAGAGAGAGAAACCCACAGATGTGGCAGCATTGAAAAAAACAAATTAGACAAACAGATGAGAAACAACCTGTTGATTACGTGCGGAAACCTGACTCCCTGGACCGACAGCATCAGTATCATCCGGGAACTTGTTAGAAATGTGGATTTTAGATCCCCAGGCTCGCCAGACTTACCGAGTCACCAACTCCGGAGGGTGGGACACAGCAATTTGCTTTAACAAGCCCTCCAAGTGATTCTGAGGTACTCCAAATTCAAGAACTACTGGTTTAGAATTTCTAAGACTTTAACCTCCATTCTTTACCAGGAGTTGTCTTAGTTGCCCTTTACAACTGGCTAAATGTTGACACACACAAAAAATAGAAAGACAACTACTTCTCACATACCCAGTAGACAATCGCTCTTTTTCAGGTATTCAAATTTCTTCTGCCACTCAATTTGCTTAACAGCGCTTGCCTTCAGTGAATGTCTGAAAATAAAAATTAAATTTAGTACTGTTAACCCAAACAGTTACTAAAAATTAAATTTAGTACTGGTACCCAAAGTAGAATAGAATAGAAAATATGCTGCATTTCAAGGTTTTCTGTTTTGTTTTTTTGTTTGTTTGTTTGTTTGAGATGGGGTATCGCTTTGTCGCCCAGAGTGGAGTGCGGTGGCATGATCTTGGCTCACTGCAACCTCCACTTCCCGAGTTCAAGTGATTTTCCTGCCTCAGCCTCCGAAGTAGCTGGGACTACAGGCGTGTGCCACCATGCCCCACTAATTTTGGTGTTTTTAGTAGAGACAGGGTTTCACCATGTTGGCCAGGATGGTCTCGAACTCCTGACCTCAAGTGATCCGCCCACCTCAGCCTCCCAAAGTGCTGGTATTACAGGAATGAGCTACCAGGCCCGGTGCAAGGTGTTTTATAATATACCTAACCACATTATATGTATGATTACTCATATGCTTATGAAGTACTTGATATAAAAATATTAAGTATTTTAAAGTATTCTTTTATCAGTTCCAATAAAATAGAACTACTTTAAAGTTAATTTAAGGAATATGAAAATATAGTTATAGCTCTAACTAAGAATAAAATATCAGGTCTCCATATTGTCCTTTCCTAAAATATAGGTAACTGCTAAAAAGTTATTAAAGAGAAGAGGATTGATAAAAAATAATATGCTATTTATCAAAGATATTAATCCTATTTTATTATAGTCCAAATGTTCTTAATTGACTTGTAATTAATATCACAGACTAAAGGAAAACTTATAAGCCATGAATGGAGAGTTCTTTTTCAGAAGCAAGGTAACCCGGTCATTACAATGGTGACTTATACAGAAGAAGAATTTCTATTTCAGGGTGAGTGCCATTAGGAGCTGTCCTTACTAGCAAGTTTCTTTGGTAACTGAGTTGTTTGGTCATAGTTGTCATTATTATAATGGGTAGTGTTGTACAATTATTTGACTCCAACTAATCTTATTTTATCTTTTTAAACCAAATTAACTACTTATATCCACAAAGACAAGTAAGCACTCTGACATTTTCCTAATTTCATACAATGGTCATGGAATCCTAAGGATATACTAATTTTTTCTTTTGCTATTTCTCTTTATATACCTCCATAGCTTGACACAAAATATGTTAAAAGTTCCTTTAGTCTCCACAAGCCTAATGATAATGTTCTCTATGTAACTTTCAATTAAGTACAAAATTATTTATTATTTTGAATACTGTTTTTAATATAATATTTTCTCATATTACATCATACAGTATACAAATGGCATGTGCTTTTGTTCCCGGACCAAACCGAGGGTCAGGCTGCTATTTTCACAGCCCAATAACGAGATGCAGATAAACTGGGGAGGAAGAGAGTTTTTATTTCTGTAACCGGTTACAGGGAAAAGACCTGGAAATCACAACGTTTTCCAGAGCTTAAACACCTTCTAAGCTATATGTCTGCGTGTAAGTGTGCATTCATCTAAACACAAAGAAGATTAACTTCTTTTAATTTATAGCTGAGGCCTGAGTCCTGAAGGCCTTCTTCTGGAGCCTCAGTAAGTTTACTTAATCTAAATGGGTCTAAGGTGCTGGAGTGATTACCGTTTTCTTGTCTCCTGCTAAATCATAAAGGCTTGGGGAGTTCCTTTAGACCCCAGTAAACTCGTTTGTGGAATTTCTTCAGACCCCCAATAAAACTTGTTAGTCCTAAACGGATCCTGTTAAGAATTCCTTTGTTATTTTGTCATGCTTCAAGCCTAGGAAAAGCCTAGGCAAAACTCTTGGTGGGCTCTTTGTTATAGTCCAGCCTTTGAATAAGGGCACTGACTCTATCAGCTTTGAATATTTAACTTAACTACTCAGTCAGTAGTACTGAGACAGATGTTATGGAGGCCTGTGTTAGTGAGACCGGGCCTGCCACACTGTTAAACTTTTTCTGACATGGACAAAGAGAAAAACATAGCAAGAGTTAATACAGTTTTAAAAACCAATTCTATAATGCCAGAGATTTCACTGAGTAACAAACTAGTGTATCCATTAAAAATTATTGTATTTAACCAATATTTTAAGAATGTTTTGGAATTTACTGGGTTTTTTTTTTTTTTTTAACTGTTCTCATTGAATTTCTTAAATTAAATAAAAAGGAAAACTAAAACCTCCCATCTGAACTTCATTTTTTTGATCTACAGAATATTCTGGGAAAACATAACATATACTTTTTAAAAATTATTCTGAAAGGAAAAGTTCTTGAAGTCTTCTCTGAACTGTTTTTTCTCTTCCCTTGTTACAGGTATCCATTTTTCAGCAACATTAATCTTTTAAAACAAAGAAAATGGATTTCTTAAATTCATCGGATCAAAACTTGACGTCAGAGGAACTGTTAAACAGAATGCCGTCCAAAATTCTGGTGTCCCTCACTCTCTCTGGGCTGGCACTGATGACAACCACTATCAACTCCCTTGTGATTGCTGCAATTATTGTAACCCGGAAGCTGCACCATCCAGCCAATTATCTAATTTGCTCCCTTGCAGTCACAGATTTTCTTGTGGCTGTCCTGGTGATGCCCTTCAGCATTGTGTACATTGTGAGAGAGAGCTGGATTATGGGGCAAGTGGTCTGTGACATCTGGTTGAGTGTTGACATTACCTGCTGCACGTGCTCCATCTTGCATCTCTCAGCTATAGCTTTGGATCGGTATCGAGCAATCACAGATGCTGTTGAGTATGCCAGGAAAAGGACTCCGAAGCATGCTGGCATTATGATTACAGTAGTTTGGATTATATCTGTTTTTATCTCTATGCCTCCTCTATTCTGGAGGCACCAAGGAACTAGCAGAGATGATGAATGCATCATCAAGCACGACCACATTGTTTCCACCATTTACTCAACATTTGGAGCTTTCTACATCCCACTGGCATTGATTTTGATCCTTTACTACAAAATATATCGAGCAGCAAAGACATTATACCACAAGAGACAAGCAAGTAGGATTTCAAAGGAGGAGGTGAATGGCCAAGTCCTTTTGGAGAGTGGTGAGAAAAGCACTAAATCAGTTTCCACACCGTATGCACCAGAAAAGTCTTTAACTGACCCATCAACAGACTTTGATAAAATTCATAGCACAGTGAGGAGTCTCAGGTCTGAATTCAAGCATGAGAAATCTTGGAGAAGGCAAAAGATCTCAGGTACAAGAGAACGGAAAGCAGCCACTACCCTGGGATTAATCTTGGGTGCATTTGTAATATGTTGGCTTCCTTTTTTTGTAAAAGAATTAGTTGTTAATGTTTGTGAAAAATGTAAAATTTCTGAAGAAATGTCCAATTTTTTGACATGGCTTGGATATCTCAATTCGCTTATAAATCCACTGATTTACACCATCTTTAATGAAGACTTCAAGAAAGCATTCCAAAAACTTGTGCGATGTCGATGCTAGTTTTAAAAATGTTTATTATTGAAGGATGGGGGGTTTTGAGGGGAGGAGTAACTAGATGAATGCTGAATAATAAAACACTTAAGCTTTTAGAGGGAAATACCTGAATACTGCTAAAATGATAAGGCTACAATTTATATTTTAATAGCAATGTGAATATAAAATTTATTGATCACCATTATTCTAGGGGACTCAAAATTAGAAAATAATTTATGTAGGTTATAAACAATATTTTGCCTATGCAATGTTCCTAAAAAGTTGACTGGAAAAAAAAATACATATATACACAATATTAATGACACTGATTTTCCATGTTTATGTCTCACAATAATTATAGAGGAGTTTTCAATTAACAACATACCTCCCTCCATAATTTCTATCTAGTCCTATTGTTTTATAATATAATTCTATTATTTTGTAGAAGAAAATATAATTCACCACAAAGCACACATTTCACCTATCTCCATTCTTGTCCCTTCTCCATCTCACCCTGAGCAAAAGGGAGGGGGAAGGAGGCAACTCTTACTTAGTGTGACTGGAGAAAATGTAAAAAAGTCAGAGCTTGAAATTGTCCTTGTGTTTAGGTAGTAAAGAGTAATCATAAAGTGGGTTAGGTACAGCAAAATAATTTGATACTGAACTTGTGCATATTTAATATGTTTGTTTAAATAAACTTCTAGAATAATATTACCATATCCATATATTATCAGCATTTGAAATCAAAGCCTTACCTTAGTAACAATAACTCAACAAAGGGGCATGGGTGACGTTGTTATAATTGCTCCTTGTTTACTTAGGAATCAAATTTAAGGCACTAAATATCATAGATTACTCACCACAGTTATTATACTCTTAACATCTTTTTAAAAGTATAAAATGTATTTCATTTCTGTTAATGTTAATAAGCTCAGTTACTAACTAAATTGTCTGTGGTACTTTGCACTTCAGTATTTCCATACCTTTGATTTAAACATTATATCCCCTTTATTAGACAGAATGCAATGGAAATTTTTAGAACTTTCCCTTGACTTTAAAATATTTCTACTTTTCCCATTGATAGAAAAGAGCAGGCAAAAAGACTCATATTGCACTAATTAATACATGTACACACTTATATATGTTTTTATTATTAGTCACTCTACTACTTCAGTGAGCCAAAGCAATTCCATAAGTTTTTCTCCCATATTTACATAAGGATTTGAAAACAATAGAACCATGAGTTTGACAGAATTTTATTTTATTTGAACCAGCAAGGTCATAGACTATCTTTGGGAAGACGTATCATCAACCAAGATCATTTGAAAAACAATATATACCTTTTTTTAAGTTGTACCTTTATGTGCATTGTAAATATTCCTTCCTGATGGTGTGCTTAAAAGCACATTACATCCATTTTATGTATGTGTATGTGTATGTGTCTCTCTCTCTCTCTCTATATATATATATATATCTGTGACAAATTACTCTCAATCTAACAAACATTTACAGAGTTTCCATTTTATACAAGGCATTGAGACATATACTAGATAGAAAATACAGGAAATAATAAAATACAGGTTTTTTCCCTGAATATGTTTACAGTCTAAAAGGAGAAACAAGAAAAATTAAAACTATAATAGAAAAGAGCAAACTAAAATCTAGCATGGAAGTTGTTTACATAGTTATGATGGTGCAGAGAAAAAACTGATTACATCTTGTTTAGAAAAATCAGAAATGTTTCACAAAGAATGTATCTGGAACACATGTCAAGTACACAGCACTGGGGCAAGAGAAGTGGAAGAGCACACTCCAGGTGATGGCAACATCAGGATACAAACTGCACCATGTAAGTATTTGGTGGGGCATGTTCATGAAATAGCAATGAGTTTGGCAACTATTTAGAGCAATAGAGGAAAAGGAGCCTAAAAGAAAAATTGGACATTTTTGTGGTTGACTTTGAACATCAGAAAAAAAAGTCTACAGTCAATTTTATTGGTAATGATGGGTAATCACTGATACTTTTTAGCAAAAATATTACAAGTTTAGAGTGAATCTAAGCAAAAAAAGAAAGAAAACTGGTTCTATCTCAATTCCATCAGAGAGAAAGCAGAGTTATTATTGAGATAATGACTTCCTGTTAGACAGCAAATCAATAATCCAGGCAAGAGGTGATGAAGTCCTGAACCTGATTCTAGCAATGGGAATGAAAAGAAAGAAACAGATGAACGATGGAATGAAAGAAGTACAATACTCAGGTTATAACAAATTCTTTAATAAGCAAGCAGAGGGAGAGACATCAGTCACTGAGATGACGTCCTTAACCAAAATGAAGAACCCAACAGAAAGGGCCTATTGGTGAAACAGTTACTTCTTTTTTGGGTATGTTAAACACATAAAGACATGTCAGAGCTCATAGATACTAACGACCACGTCTGGCTTAAGCAACACTGACAGGCAGATGAGGTTTCTCTCTGACCTCAAAACTGACAGGTAAACGAGTGTCCCAGCCATCTCTTTTGTCCTCACTTCACTTGACCGCCCAAGGGCCCTTATGCTATGTTGACAGGCCAAAGTCGGCCATAGTCCCTGTCATTCTCTGCTTACTTCTCTTTCCCTTCTCTTCTCGCTTACCAAAATTTAATTCTGTGATTTCTTCATTCAATGACTTTGCTAAAGTTAAAATTACCTGTTAAGTTAACTTATTTATACCCATCTCAGAAATTTATGTATTTGTATTGGGAAACTAAGAGACACAACCCATCAACAACCCAAGGAGAGTAAGGCTCACCCAAATACAGATACTGTCCTCTGGTCTGAGTTGGACTGAGACCCAAATCAAGGAAAATAACACTGTAAGTGACAAAGTCATAGATCCCTTCAGAGCTCAGAGGAGAATCAAGTTTATCATTACTGTGTATGATCCAAAGGACCACAACAAATTCCAATTATTGTCACTTCATCTATGTGTTTCCCCCACATACTGAGGGTACAGAACATGCCTTCCTTCATCAAAAAATATGAATATGAATATTTAGCTATTTTATTTTATTTTATTGAGTCAGGGTCTCACTGTTGCCCAGGCTGGAGTACAGTGGTGTGATCTTGGCTCACCGCAACCTCCGCCTCCTGGGCTAAAGCCATTCTCCCACCTCAGCCTCCCGAGTAACTGGGACTACAGGTGTGCATCACTGCACCTGGCTAAGTTATCTATCTTTTGTAGAAACAGGGTTTTACCATGTTGTCCAGGTTGGTCTTAAACTCCTGAGCTCAAGTGATCCTCCCACTTCAGCCTCCAAAAGTGGTGGGATTATAGGTGTGAGCCACCACAACCGGCCCATTTTATTTTTCTAGAGACAAAGTCTCATTCTGTTGCCCAGGCTGGAGTACAGTTGTGCAATCACTGCTTACTGCAATCTTGAACCCCTGGGGCTCAAGTGATCCTCTCACCTCAGCCTCCCAAGTAGCTGGGACTACAGGCATGCACCACCACACCGGGATAATTTTTTTTATTTCTTACTTTTTGTAGAGATGACATCTTGCTATGTTGCCCAGGCTGGTCTCAAACCCCTGGCCTCAAGTGATCCTCCCACCTTGGCCTCCCAAAGCATTTGGATTACAGGCTTGATCCACCACACCTGGCCTCTCTTTAATATCTTTAAAGTGGTAGGGTCAGGTAGGTTACTAGAGATTAATCATCTATAACTTGTACTTTCTTTGAAACTTATGAAGGACAGATTACAATTAACATGATATATTTCTCTGAATACACAGGATTTCAACGAGATTTTTCTATCATTGAAAAATCCTCCAAGTTACTAATAGCTAAGCATTTTTACAGAAATATATATATATTTGGCACCTATAACAAATATAGCAATGTAAGAATTTATGTATTTAACTGATAAGGTAGAAAAAGAAAATATAAATATCATAGAAATAGCTAAATACTAGATAAGGAAGAGTTACCTCCTGCTAGAATTTTAAGCATACTGGCACTAGAAAATTAAGTGAAAATTTTATTTTTGCTCCACTCCTCTAAAATTTATCAAGTGATGAAAGGCATGGAAAAGAGACCAAAGAAAGACAGAAAGTCACACTACTAAAAACTAAATTCACTCCAATACTCTACCATTAGACATACCTATGTAAAAATTATGCTTGAAAATTCACTTCTGCTTGTGAAACATGGTCTTAACTGTAGAACTGGTTTAAGTATATGGATTGTCTAAGTTAACTGAATTTTTTTGGTTTTGGTTTTGTTCTATTTTACAATAAACACACAGGGTCAAATCTATAGCACAGTTTATCCAAGTCCTGGCAGTCGGTGGGTCCATCCTTAAGTAGGGCCGATTTCCATTTTGAATCTCCAAAACCAGTTTCCTTTCCCTTTTGTAGTGATTTTGATTCCCCACCCCCCCATCCTCAGCTTGCCCTAAGTGGTATGTCCCTTGTTTATATCAGTTATGTCAGTTCCAAATTTTAAAATTCCCTTAGCACAGAATCATCCCCACATTCACAGGCTCAAAGTTAAGCTTGTCCCTCTGTACCCAAAGAGTCCTGTGTCAAAACTAAATGGAGAATTAATCGGAAGCCAATTACTAGGCAATGCATTGATTTGCTCCACCAAATAGCAAGAAAGTGGAGATTATCATAAGGTTATTGCTGAAATACATTCCTCTACGTCAAGGAAGAAACCATTTTCTGATGACTTTATACCAGACTATTTTTAACTTATAGGTCAAAGAATTAGGTTTACTGCTTTGCAGTACAAAGGAAGTAAGAAAAATATTTCCTTAACATATCCTGAAGTCCTTCAAAAGCAATCCTGCTCAATTGAAAATGTGTCCATATTAATTTGTTTCAGAAAATGTGTTCCTAGACTCTAATAACTAGATAACTAAAATGATTATATTCAGACCTTTATTTTGCCAGAAAATATTTCTAAAAACAAACTAATATTTTTGTCATGAATAAATATTTTCTTATGATATTGTGATCATTTTTCTTGCTCTTTTGAGTCAATATGCTTTCTCTCATTATTTGAAATGAGAGAAACTTATTGTTGAGAGAAATATTTTCCAGCATTATAATAAATACTGAGTTATTCATGCAGAATATCTTCTCTGTACAAAATGTGGCATGCTTGAAGTTGATCTGGGAAGAACAGAATTTTTTCAAAGAATTTACACACTTTGGTTAGGCCAGAAACGATAAAATTTTTGTTTGAGTAAAAAGCATATTATTTTATCAACAGTAACAATGGTAAATCTTGTCAAAGCAATCTTTCATCAAAACTTGTTTTTAGTTTCTGTTCCAATTTTTACCGCAGAGTTTCTTCCTCTGCAAGGACACTAAAATTACCTTATTGATTTATGTAGACATAGAAAACCAAAGCAATGTGCATAAGAATTACCAAAGATGCTTGTTACAAAGGTAAATTCCAGATTTGAAATCAGAAAAGGCTGAAGTTAAATTATGGTTCTTCTGCTAATCATTAACTTGATGCTAAGCAACTTTCATCTAACCTGCTTTCTTCAGATTAGAGATGAACAACCACAGAGATAAAGTGAAATAAAGCAAATGCTCTTGAAAAAATGCTAAAAGACTACAAAATAGGAATTTGCATTCTTTATCACTATTCCCCCTACTAAGGAGTGAGTCAGAGGGCATTTGACATGCAACCTGGTGTTCTGCATTATGTGTTTCCTGCTTTTGAGTGTGGAGAAGAGCCGGTAAGTCGTCGATGGCCTTCTGCTCCTGGCTCTCCATGGTAGAACAGTAACTCCCAATAACCCCATACACAGCCACAAATACCACCCTGTGGGTACTCACAGTCTTTTCCTTTGCTCTATACTGCCATCCTTATTACTAAAAGACTGGCATGCTCAAAGCTTGTTTAGCTTTCTAGA